AAACTCGAATTTAGACAGAATATGACGATTGACATAAATTAAATTTTTGAATATCAACGTTGACAAGAAAGAAACTGTTGACAAAGAACTTTTGGTTATAACTTTAGTCATTTCACCAGTAAAAGGATTTGACATTATCGCTAATCTAGTACTGCGGTTTAATTAATAAAGTTTGAGTAGCAAAGAAAAAAGCTCACCAGAACAATTATGAAAATATTCATAGAAAAGGCACAGGAAAGCTCCATTATAGGTGTGGGAAAATGAAGCCGTGAAGTCAGGTCAGGAACAATAACATTGTAAATTCTTTGTATTTTATCGAGAATTTCTAAATATATAGCAGAAGCACCAGGGCAGAATTAATCTGTGAAATAGATATTTGGTAGAGGTGAGGATATACCAAATATCTAAACAATAGAAACCAAACAGGAAATTACAAATGTAACAAACCTCGTTGCTTAGTTTGCAAACATTTAGTAATAGCTAATACATTTTACGTACCCAACACCAATATCAGGATACAGCCACCTAACCTCACCTGCGATACCCATAACGTAATCTATTATTTATTCTGCAACTTATGTCCTAATAGTGGATATATTGGTGAGTCTGAAACAATTTTAGATTTCGTTTTAATAACCATAAACAAACAATACGTCAAAACAACCCTTATTCCCCATAGCTAAACACTACAATCAATCAGGACACACATTAGAAAACTGCAAATGTTTATTAATAGATTCCGATTTTACTTCCACATTCACACGCAGAAAAAAAAGAAACATATTGGATTTTAAAATTAAATACACATAAATTAGGGTTGAATAGGGACTTAGGTGTTTTTAAATCTTTATAAATATTTCAATAGCTAAGCAATTTCTTTAGATATAGTAAAAAATTTTTTAAAATATTTATGACAGTTAGATTTAAGTTAGGAATATCTGAACAGTGACGTTCCATATCACGTGACGTCCGCGACTCTCGAAGGACGCTACTTGCCAACAAACAGTAATTTTAATTTATTTGTAACAAACAGTTATTTCTGATGAAAAATTGAGGACAATTTGAAATATCAAATATATATATAAATAAATTTAAATAAATAACTCTACTAAGCTGATAATCGAATCATCCTTGAAAATGGCTAAAGGTATAGCCGAAAGCGCTCGGAAATACAAAACATTCGGACAGTTCTTACACACCCTTTGTCCAGAAAAGAAAGCTCTTGTCAGAACACAAGAAAAATTAAATAAAAAGCTCAACCGTAGTACCTTGTCTGTCGTTTTTAATGAATCATGCATATATATATATATATATATATATATATATATATATATATATATATATGAAAAGAGAGTGAGAGACTGATATATATATATATATGAAAAGAGAGAGAGACTGATATATATATATATATATATATATATATATATATATATGAAAAGAGAGAGAGACTGATATATATATATATATATATATATATATATGAAAAGAGAGAAAGACTGATATATATATATATATATATGATAAGAGAGAGAGAGAGACTGATATATATATATATATATATATATATATATATATATATATATATATATATATATATATAATGAAATGGACAAAATCCGACAATTATTTTAAGACATTTTTATATTTTACATTCTTTTTATAGATACAAATATTTAAGTAAATGCTCTGTTTATAATAAACAGTATTAAACAATTTACCGCCCTGAATGTTCGAGAAATTTTCACAGAAAATATTGGTCGTCCTGTATACGGAACCGTCATTTAGCTTGATGTGCCTTTACCGAGTTGGCTACGAAGGAGCGTTCGGTTAGCAAGGTCGAATAAAAAGAATGTTAAACATAAAATGTCTTAATATATATATATATATATATATATATATATATATATATAGAGAGAGAGAGAGAGAGAGAGAGAGGGTAATTCTTGATAAATTTCAAAAAAGGATCTGTAATGAAATCGATCCTGACTTGGCATCTCTGACTTCAGTCCCTTTCTGAAAGAAGTGTCCTAATCGAGCCACTAGATTGGCAAATAGGTCCCAACCTTTTATTATTGAAATACCTAAATGCAAACAGTACTTCTACTTCGACAGTTTCTGTTCTCGCACTCGCCGCATGTGGAACTCCCTTCCGTTTTCTTGTTTCCCTGGAAATATTTTTGAAATTTAAAATCTAACTTCTATCGCCATCTTCTATCTTCTTGAACGCAATCCTCCCCATTCCGAGTCTTCTCATTCTCTTTCCCCCTCCTGCGTTCTAGTGGCATTACCGATTTGCTTGGGGTGAAATGATTAAAAAAACATCAATGTATAATCATTCATTTTACAGATTCAGACGGAGACGCCAGAGAAATACTTAGAATCACTATCCTTAACTTGTTCTTAGAGAATCTTCATATCACGTCTATAATATAAAAGCTAACGACCATATCACGTTGAAACAATGGTTCTCATACTATCACCTAAGATAAGCAACGTCTAGAATGGACAGTATCTAGTTGGGTGACCGAATAATCTTGGATGTAGGGGTGGTGTAATGGATAACTGCTTTGAATTGGAAATCGGAGAGCAGTTCCAATTCTCATCGGGTTCGTTATATACCATTGGGAAAAGTATGAATCCGCCTCTTCCTCGATGATGTGGATTAATAATGACTTGTAACAGTAAATCATTATCTCCAAAACATTCTTAGAATCTAAAATATCTTTCGGATTTAAATAATCGGCAAGTGATTGATAAGCCGCAAAAATAAAATCAATCAATAATACATAAACTTCGAGTATGATAAGCATTTTATTTGCACAATCGACTGATTGAGTTTTGTCACCGATGAGCTGGTCAGTATCAGGTCCCATATGACGATAGCGATATCAATAGCTACTTGGCGCCCTATACTTGTTCTAGACTATTTCGTTGGCCTGCCGAGTAAGATCATTTGAAAAAAAAAATAAGGCTAATTTCTGACTGAATATCAGAGATGAGGAGTTATTATTTACATTCGGACTGTTATCACAACGTTTCAACCATTGTGAAACACCTTTCTTCTTTGGTAATCTATCGATCCTGGTAACCTTCGTTGAATTAGCCCTTTATTAAATTTACGAGGTGAAGGTTGTTCTTGTCCTCGGAATAGGGAAGTAAAGCGCTAGGTTGTGAATATGACGACATAGTAATCGTGAGTTCAACTCCTAGACAAGGTAGAAACAGGAAGAGCAACTGCTGAATAGGAACAAGAGATATCCATACTGATGACGAGAACAATCTATCCCTATTGATTAAATAAAGGAATTAAAAATTTACTTTAACTGGGCCAGCATACACCCGAAGAATAGCGAAAGACACAAAAGCCAAAACGTTGTAATAAGAAATATAAAGACAATATTCTATGTTGTAACCTTACAAGTGTTACTGAATGAGGACTAGCCAAAACAGAGGTTGGAAATGAAATGGTAATCTTTATAACATAATTCCAATATTCGCCAACGGCGTGAAGTAGATAAACAACTGCTGGTAGTGGACTACTTAGACAGCATATTACCCCAACTTACAACAGTGTCCAACGTATTTATGAGGACTGGGACATACCCATTAACGTTCATAGTTAAGGTATATAACATTCTAAAAGCCAATGTTTTGAATGCGGACTTACCAGGAACTTCACTATTTTCAACATTAGCTTTTCTTCTTAAGCCTGTTACTTTCTTTTGGACCTATGCAGAATTAAATTAAAATCAATCAGTGGGTCTCTTTATAAAATTAAAGACAGATAGTTTTTTGGTCTGTGCCTATTCTGACACAAGGCTAATATATAGAAGATCGAATAAACTACCTTATTCCTCTTTATATGTTGTCCTTGTGCCAGAAGTTCTTTGCTGAAAACAATGAATTCTCAAATACAGGTTTTATCGATAAAAAAAAAACAAACGAGATCTCAGCTACAAAGTTGTCGTTTATAATGAAATTCTTTATCAAGAAATGTTTGATTTGCTCACAAAACACATTTTTAAAATGCAAAAAAATAAAATAAAATAAAAAATAATAATCCAGTCGTCATTGGCAAACAAATTCTCGAGTTTCCTCTTCGGAAGGAGGAGACGAAAAAAAAACAAAAAAGAAACATTTCCCTTAAGGGAGGAACATAAATGATTGTCAAATCACAAAATATTGACAAAGCGCGAAATCACTGCTACAAAATAAACTACACAAAATAAAGAAGCCAAATGGACAATTATGAAAGATACTTGTCAAAATATCTTGCATAAAATTGTAATCGGAAATCACAAACACTTTATACAGTTTTCCTTGTCCTTCAGAATAATACGAATTTTAAAAAATGGCAAACATTTAATCCAATGTCTCTTTGCTTTAAGAGTGCTATAAACAAAATTGGCATAACGAGTCAAATCCTGGACTAGTTTATTTTCACTTAGCACTAACAACTTTGGAAAAAAGTATGACTCAATTTTCGGGAAGCTAATGGTTAAATATGTTCATCATGAACTCCTTACCTTCATAAAAATTCAGTATGTCGAATTAGTAAATACTAAACACTCCAAATACATCGGTGTATGGATTAGTTACAAGAAATTTAGTATAGAAAACAAGAAAATGAACATAGAATATTGATTGATTCATTTTCTATGGCTCATAAGATAAGCCATTCTATTGCTTATATGATAAACCATAGAAAATGAATCAATATTCTATGTTCGATTTCTTTTATTCTTCTATACGTTTGCAGGTTATTAAAGCCAGAAAAATTTTTTAGATTGTAAAAATTTTAATTTTTTTTTTAGATCATGATGGTTTAGTGATACGTTTTACTAATTAATCCATATCTGGGGAAGAAAAAGTCGTTTCATACCTTTCCCAAGGGTATTTGCACTTAAGTGAATATAATGAATCCAACTGGAATTGGAACCTGGCTCTCCGATTAAAAGTTCCGAGCCATTACGCGTTGCACCACCCGTATATATAAGCATACAGCACCTGGTATTTTCAAGCGTTCACCCATCTAGTTACTGATCAGACTCGTCGTTGCTTAACTTCGGTGATCGTACGAGAACCCATGTTTTAACGTGATGTGGCCGTAGGCTGAACATAGAATAATCTGCACTAGAGGTAGTTTCGCAGAACACCACAAGTTGCTACAAAACCAGAAAGCTGAAAAGTCGAGTCATGTTCTTAAATAGCCTCGTAAGATCGAGACTTTCATACGGACGTCATGGGTAGTACCAAACCCGTTTAGAAATATCTAAACACCGCTTTTTATCATCAATGTTTAAAAATGGCTTTCAGCGAGTGAATCCCGTGGATCTTGGCGAAGATCACCCTTCTTCGAACCTTGCGCTACAGAATAAGAACGAACTTTACCAAATATTAGAAACATCATTTAAAGACAGCAGCAAAAACTAAAACGGATATCGCATGTAAATCGAAGAGAAAATGGCATAATAATGCAGTTGACGTTCCACACTACATGAAGCAAAAGGTTAGAAAGAAAACCACAATCAATACTGGAATAAGTGATAGCAGACTTGAGAAATCTTTTTCTTAACAAATTGTTTTAACAAAAATAATTATAAATTTTAGCTGACAGCAGTACTGGCTGCTCGGTTGGTGAATACAAAATGTTTCCTTGTAGGGAAAGGGCTATTATTATCATTGTATTCAAAATAGTCATTATTACCACTGAATTAAAGACTAACCTGAAGAGGAATCAGCTCTAGGCTATATCATGTCCTAGATACACCTTCTGAATATTTTGTTTAATACGCTGATTGATTACAAAAGCATATATGAACCAGTTCAAACCAAACTTACCAAATCTGTATCGAACTCCAATACACAACATTAGAAAGGGCGTAAGACAAGGTGTCTTCTCAAATGATTGAAAGAAACCCGACCAGTATGTATTATTGGTGAGCACAATTTTTACAAAAGATGCGCAGATACTGTCTTGATGGCAGACACTTAAAGATCTACAGAACCTCATAGAAAATGTAGTTAAAAAGAAAAAAAGAGAAAAGGCTATGAATGGTTGTCAGCAAGAAAAAATGCCGAAGATGTAAGCTACGAATTGTAGTTTAAATGTTTGTCAAGTGTTTTAACAGATGACAGAAAATGTGGCGTCGAAATCCAAAGCACAATGGAATAACAAAATGTGGCTTCCAAAAGTGCTTGTTTTATCTTTTTCAGGCAATTGGGCTTTGTGTTTTGCAGTTAATAATTAGTCCTTTCTTCTCGCTTTCTCTGAAAGTGTCTGTTTTTTATTTTTATTTTTTTTCATTTTTCTTGGGTCTGCTTTGAACAGTGCCATCTGTATATCTCATGTTAGGATTATATTCGGCGATAACAAAGTGTTCGTTTTTTAAGATTATCTCGCTCTATAGGTTGAATAAATCCGGTGGGGAAATGTATCGTTATTTTACTCACTGATGTTTATATTGAAGTAAAGAAAATTTAATCTATATTACCAGCGTCTTCTTCATTTTCGATGTAGCTGTTGTCCTTCTTCGCTGCCATCCAATGCATTCGTGATATTTTTCTTTCATGATTTTACCCCGTTGGTGTCATGGAGTCACTGACACGTATCTAGTATCTATGTACAAATAACAGAAATCTCCGGTTGGGCTTATTGCATTTCTGTACGTGTTTGGTTTATATACTATATAAATTATTTAAATAACCACTATATAAATATATTTTGGTGCTCATTTGCTTTAAGCACTATATAAATTTTGTGTTTCTAAATCTTATATAAAAAGTAAAATGTGTGTTTTTGCGCGTGTGTGTGTCCAAACAACTCTTCCGCTCCCATTTGTCCGATTTCAATGATTCATAGCTCATTCAAAAGCCCTAAAAAGGAAACGATTTTCGTTTCGCAGGAAACGATTTTCGTTGAGCTTAGATTCAGGGTTGCCAGATTATATGTGGTTAAAATATATATTAATATATTATACTATCCATTATCGTTGCTTTCATAGTTCAAAGAAGGTAACTCTTATTTTCCTTTTGTATCCAAAATTGTAGTTAGGTTAAAATTTCAAGGTAGCTAAAATTTTAATCTAGCTCCTGTGGAGGACTCATGGTTTTGTCATCGTCACAATAGCTAGAGAGGAGTAGATATGATAGGCATCAATAACCTACGGAAGAACTCAAAATTGATCGCTGCATTTAAGTATTGAATTAATGTTTAAGCTTACTTTTTAAAAGTTCAAATTCTTCTGCTGCCACTGAATTTAAAGACGATTTGATGTACGTAGACCCTTATTTTCCGCACCAACAATTATTTTTATTTCATAGATGATAGAACAGGGAACAATTTATAAGGTAAAGTATAGTGCAAAAATGAGAAAATAGAAATTAGAATTAGTTATACATTCAACACTGGAAGAATTAGAGAAACATAATGAAATAAAACCTATATTATGGAATCTATATAAATAAATGCGAAATTGTAGCTCAATTCTCCCACAAATTCGAAGATTAAAAAGCCCGAGCACTACTTTATAGTAATTTGGTATTTACTCGATACCCACGTAGTCGCGTTGTGACACAAGGTCGGTTTAATGTGGGGAGCCCGAGCGCGTACACCCGGGCAAGGAAGAAAAATTACACGACCCGACGCAACCGTCGATTGCACTGGCCTCAGTGATAGCACCGATCCCACTCTCTATTTCAATGAGAGGGCGCGGTTCCGGCAGCTGTTCCCGAGAGTTGGAACATCTAGGTATAATTTTCCTCAGTTGTGTCTCTGTTCTTCGAGGGAACCACCCCTGAAGACACTCTGTCCAAAGACAGATGCAACTGAGAGATGATAAATAATGTGTTACAACCTACTCGAGAGTAATTTGCATTTACTCAACCCCCCCACAAGGTCAGGTTGTGACACAAGGTCGGTTTAATATGGGAAGCTCGAAAGGGTAAAACCAGTCTAGGAACAAAGCAGCGGTCTCTCAGATGGGGAGACCTCGAGGAGCGTGAGGACCTTGATAAGGAGGAATAGTGGTTCCAGCAGGATCATCCTCAGGCTCAAACTGCTAATGTTACCATGGCATGGCTCCGTGAAATATTTGGGAAGCGTCTCATCAGCCGCAAAGCTGAAGTGGAATTGGGCATCTCAATCGCCTGACGTGAAATCCCTAGTTTACTTCCTCAAGATCAGCATCTACCCTGGCAAACCACGCATTGCTGCATTGAAGGTAGCCATCATTGAGAAGATTCAAGCGATCACCCAGGATGTATATGCAAGCGTCATCAACAACTTTGCCTTCAACTGAACAGCGGACATCTGGAACATGTACTCCAGGGCTCCTCATGACATTTTTGGCTCATGTTTGAGACTAAATGGTTGCAGATTTGAAAATATTATCCTTTTACTTTTCAATAAATGTAATTTCCATTACTCTATCATTTGTGGTCCTTGATTTATGCCCGATCATTTTGTTAAAAAATTGTGAAACGCACCGTAAATGATACATGGAGAAAGGCAAAAGGAATAATCACCAGTCAATGACATCTTCAGGTGAACTAGCGGACCCAATCATAGCATCACAACACAACCATGTGACATAATGTGTTCAAAAATTGATATGGCAATTACAAAATGAAATAATCAAATTGCAAGTCCAAACTTGAACATCCAGGAGCAGAAAGAAATCTCGAAATCAGGATCGCAGATCCAATGTCCAAAATCCCAATACACGTAAACGGTCAGAAATCCGACGCACAAGGCGTCAGTCACCCGCACGCTGACAGACTAAGATAGAAAAATAAAGTACCTCCCAATTCGAGAACATCAACCGCTTTTAACGACGGAACAATTTTTCATTGGTCGACAATCGGAGAGAACAAACAACATTAGTATATCAGAGATATCTTATTTTGGACATTCCCGCATTATTAGAGGATTCCCTGTCAACATCGCTTGTTGGACTAACAAAGAGGCACAGACACCTCACAGAGCGCGTCATCCAATCTACAAAAATCGCGCATCGTCTTATATTCCCTGTGACACGTCCCACTTGATACTGAGTTTTACATCGGTTTTGAGAAGGTTTTAACCACACATGGTCTTCTAACCCATATTTCAATCCTTCACATTCTTGCTTTGGTGGAGGTGTTTTATCAATACCTCGTACCCGGACTTTATAACGATAAATCCCACTGGCTAGTGCGGTGGAAGGTGACACGTCATCTTCGTGTGTAATATTGTGTCAATATATACTGAGCATTGATTCCTTGCGGTAATTCGCTTTATGCTTCGTTGGCAACATTCAACTATCCCGTTACCGGAAGGGACGTGCGCGCAGCGGAAACGGATATAGATTCCCCACCTGTCTAAAACCTTTTGAATGGTTTACTACGGAAAGTAGTGTCGTTAAGTTCAGCAGGCGGTCCCCGCTCAAAAAATAGTTTCTTTAAATGGTTAATGTCGCTGACTGAATCTTTATGGAGGTGTCGCCAGATTTAAATCGAGTGGAACTAGTTAATCAGCGTCAGGTAATGTTTTACCTTTGTGATTGGTGATGTCCATCCCAACCCGTGTCCACACATCGTCAACGTCCTAATTTTCCCTGGTGATGGGTCAATGAACTGACACTCTCTATATTCAGACTACGGTCCTAACCGCTGCCTTGGACACCGCTGAATCAATCCGCCTTGCAAAGTACAGGGTCTTTTTAATGCCAAAATGCTCACTTTGACAGTGTGCCGAACTTATCTTGTCCGAGTTGCATTTGCTCACTGATGCTGCACAGAAAAATTCCACCGGTCCCGTCTCATTCCTCACTGCGTCGAGCTATCTCCGGTACCCTCGTCAACATGTCTGCTCGGTTGTGGTTGGATTTCACCAGCTTTATGTCCAAAGATAAGTTATTCACTGACCAGTTTTTCCTAAATGCTGAGTCTCCTCCGAATGAGCATATCGCTTGTGGCCTTTGTGTGTATTCCGGCCTTTCCGGTGAGAGAGTCAGATGAACACATGCAGAGTCCGTGAATAAATGCGACATTTTTAGTCTTGCATTGAAGTGCTACGTTAAAATCCTTAAGTACGGCGTCCAACTCGGCTACATTTATATGCTAAACGTCT